AGTTCCCCACACGCCCAGCGGTGGCAGTAGCCCCCCTGCCCCCCAGCGGGGTTAGTTTAAAGCCCGGTGGAGCAGGTCAGCCAGTCTGGCTGAGACGAGCCTCCTCCCTAGGGGAGAGAGGTGGAGGCCATCTCTTCCCAGCAGCTCGCTGCCTCTCTCACCAAAGAGCGGGCTGTGGTCATGAAAGCCAAAGCCTTCCCGATGACACCAGCGCTGCAGTCTTTGGTTGACCACGTGGATCCTCCTCTCCCTCCTCAGCCCATAGCTTGAGACTGGGAGGATCGATGAGAACACCACCTGTGCCCCCAGACCCTTTAGCCCCGCTCCCAAATCCCTGTAGCGCCTCATGACCCAGCTGGGAGTGCTCCGAGCCATGTCATTGGTGCCCACATGAATAAGGAGCATGGGATAGTGGTCTGTGGGTTGGAGGAGCTTTGGGATCCTCTCCGCCATGTCCCGGATGTGGGCCCCCAGGAAGCAGCAGACTTCCCGGGCTAAGGGGTCGGGGTGGCAGATTGCCCCCTCATGAGGGAGTCTCCCACAACAAACACCTTACGTTTTGTCTTGGGGAGAGCAGGGGCGGTAGCTGCAGTTGGGCCCATGTTGCCTGTGGGAGCCGGCAACTCAGCAGGCTCTGCTGGAGCGGCAAGAGGTGCGTTTTAAAAAAAAGAATATGGGCCACTAATTTGCTTTTTTAATGTATTAATAAGATATTTATGAATTGATACTGCTTTTTCTTTGCAGGGGATTTTCCTCAAGCTATTTTGTCTTGCTGGTTTAGGCATTTCCAGTGCCATAGCAAGGGGGGTGGCGAGCGGGGTGACTACCCTGAATGCTGAAGTGAAGGGGTACCAACAGGTGCTGCCTAGCCAGGGTGGGGCACAGGATAGAGCCGTGAGTGGCTTGTTTATGGAGACGGAGGGAGGGTGGCTTGCCCCCACTGCGTGCACTCCTGGGCAAGCATGGGTGGGGGGGCATGTGCACCCCGGAACTGTGCATGGAGTGAGGGTGGGCTGCTGCTGCAGGCTTTGCCCTGTGTGCCAAACTTCCTTGCCACAGCACTGGGCATTTCTATGATGATATTGTACTTAAAAAGGCAGAAATATGGCCCAGACCACTATACTTATCTTCTACACTCATTTAGGACACTTAGTAAAACTATACTAAGATTGATTGGAGGGAGACAGAAGAGAGAAATAAAAAGTTGACTTACTTTTTGTCATCCTTTTTGTTTACTTAGAATCGGAGAGATGAAACAGTGCCCTTTTTATGTCAACTGAAAGAAAACAGCAGAGGTGATGGGCCACAAACTTTTACTTAATTAAGAGACCATATAGTTGGAGCTACTGAACAGGTTGCTTTCAAAATGCACACTGCAGTAGCACCACCATCTCTTTATTTGGCGCAAATCAGCAAAGTTCCATTGCCTCCAGGGCAGCTACATGCATTCAAAGCAGTGGAGAATCTGTCCTGTACGACCAGCTGAAACTCACTTGGACCCACACTTTGCTGCCTTAGAGTCACATGAATCCTGGAAAAGTTATGAGCTGGTTCAGATAGAGTCACCAGATTACACTTCAGTTGTGGATACAAAAGAACACGAGGGACTTCAAGCTCAGGCTGCAGTATGGAAGAAAGCTCTTAAGTAGGTACAATTATTTTTATCCAAGCTGCTTAGAAAAGGAAGGGCTCCCATGAATTCTTCTTTAAACAGCTGCTCCCTTTAGACACTGTTGGAAGACTCTGGCTATATTACAATGATGGGATTTAATAATACTTGACACAGGGTGTTTCACAATTGTTCAGGCACCAACATTAATTAATTCTCTCTCACTCTACCTGAGGGGTGATGGTCTTTACGGCTGTTGGAGGCAATATACAAAACTAGATGGACCAGGGGACAAAGTGAGTGCAGAGATTTCTAGATTTCTTTCAAGAAAGAAAATAGGTTATACTATTTCTGTATTACAGTTGGTCCATCCAGTATCTTACTCTTGAATCTGAGTATATTTTTTAGATTCCATATGGTCTTATTTACCAGCAAACTCCTCCTAAATGAATGTATTATAGCTGTGAAGTCCCTTGTGTCTACAATAGAATACAAAATTCCCACATAATAGAGAGAAAATCTGTTTTCATAATGACATATTTGTGAGACAAAAAAATCTCTACCACCAGAGCCTGACCTTCATTTAATTAGAGGAAGAAAAGAAAGCAAACAAACAACACTTGCTATAAAACTTCCTGTCTGATTCCTGGCTTGACTACCATCAGATGTTTATGCATCCTAATTACACCCCTGATATCATTGTTTCTTCTTTCCTTTATTTCATTAGAACAAACCTATTTAAAAGGAGTTGGAATTTAAATACTGTAGTCTAGCACTGCTATGGGCTGACTGCATATATCCCATGATATAGAAATAGATCATAGCTTGTCTGGCATCGATGTACAAAGGCCTCCAGGGACAAACGCAAGAAACCTCACACATCAGCACTGAGAGCTAGTTACAGATCCATTTTTTTGTGCTCAGAATGTAGGGATTACTCATTGGTAACAGCAATGGTAGTTCTCCTTCACAAATGGCTGAAAGAAGGAAGATCTAAAATAAGCCATGACCCCACCCTTCCTCTCTGATCCTGTGGGACAAAGGCCCTGGGTGCCATGCCCTGACTCAAGGTGTGACAACAAGATACATATTTTGGGGAATCCCCTAGGAGGCGATTTATGATGCATCTGAACGGGGGGATCCTCATGAAGGTTCCCCTGCTTGCAGATGTGCACTAGGAGTGGCAGCGGTGCTACACACACCACAGTGAGCTACACACACCATAGGAACCCCTGCAGGAGAATTCCCATGATTTGCAATAAGTAAACTGATATCTGTGCCATCTCATAGCTCAGGAAAAGACAAAGAGACTTTTTGCTCTCAAAATGACTTTATTGCAACTGCTAACACACACAAAAAATGGCTAATAACTTCCTATTGATGTCATCATGGTAGTCCTCAAGAAGGGAGTTAACCCAGGAAGGGAGAGAAACCTACTACCTCCCCCTTTCTCAGGACAAACTTGAAGGATTTCCAAAAAACTGCAAAATCCTCTGGAGAGGAGAGGTTACAAGTACATCACTCTCTTGTGAGTCTTTACCACTCACTTCCCTACAAAAAGAAAATAATCAAAACAGAAACATCAACAAGTCTTTTCATTTAAAGTGGATTGGTTCACAAATCAAATCTATTTGGTAGAACTGACACACATCCTGACCTAGTGTAGTAAACAGGTGGAATACAATGGAGATGCTCTTGATTCCTACGAAGAAGACATCTGTTCTTAAAACTGACAGTATGACATGGCACACGTATATACTCTTCAACACCATTATAACTCTCTCGGTTGTGGTGTTCTGTAACTGTGCCATCTCCACGTAACAGAAGTAATAGTCGATAACAACAAGGTAAACAGCACTTCCAAGTCACTAAATCAGCTCCCAGCATCCGCCAGAGGTAATCTAGTAATTCAGTCATAAAACTGGTCAGTGTTGAGCACAAACCTTACAATTAGCCACCCAATTTTGTATGTCATCACTGACAGAGGGCCACCAAACTGTCTGAAAAGCCCTGGCTTGACACCTTGTAGTACCCTGATGAGCTTCTTGAATCTTCTCTAGGATCTCCTGGCATGGAGCAGAAGGTATTGGTACTCTGTTATGGGACATGACTAAATCCCTGACAACATGGAGATTGACTTTCTGTTGTTGGCACCTTGCTAGCTCTTCAGGCCATCCTTCTAAGTAGTACTTCTTTATCTTTTGACAGAAAGGATCAGCTTCCTGAGCTTCTTGGATCCTCGTCTGAAATGAAACAGATATTGGTATCCCCACTGCAATAAGGTTCACATAAACAGTGACATCTCACTCTTGGCGGAGTTCTTCCAGAGGCAGTGGTGTCTGTAATAGTGCCCTAGGAAGAGTATCAGCTGTCTTTAACTCTTTTCCAGGAATGTATATAATATTGTAAATGAATGTCAGCATTTTGAGGTAAAATCTCTGTGTTCTTTCTGGGAGTTCATTTATAGGTTTGTCTCCTAACAGGGATAAGAGTGGCTTATGATCCATTTGTAAAGTAAAAGTCAGGCTAACGAGGACAGTTCTGTGTCACTCACATGTCCATGTAACTGCTAGTGCTTTGTAGGCCTGTGCGAAGCAGCTAGTATTCACTTTGGATTTGAATTCAGCCAATCTTGGGGACAGTGATTCAATTCAGTGATTCGACTCCCTGTCCCAAATTGATTTGGCCGAATCTGATTCAGTGATTCAGCTATCTCCGAATTGGCCCCATCCCCGGCCACTCTCAATAGCTGCCCACCCACTCTTCCAGCTCTTTAAAAAAAAAAAAAAGCCTGTGCTCACCGGCTGCTGCCAGGTGGGGGGGCAATCCCTGCTGCCCCCTACTGCCCCATGCTGCGTTGGGGGGCTCTGCCATGAGCCCCATGACTCCCACCCACTCTCCTAGCACCCACATGGCTGCCCCACCCAGCCTAGCTCCTGGCCCTTTATAAAAAAAAAAAAAGAATAAAAAGCCCTGACTCACTGACTCCTGCCAGGCTGGGACACACTGTGGCGGGCTCTGCCATGAGTCCCCAGAAGCTCTGAAGTAGCTGCAGGAGCCAG